AAAAATACCTAAAATGCTAAAATCTGAACCTAAAATCTCAAAGATCTAGCTACTTAAGCCCCCAAAATTTGTCAAAATAACTCTATATAATAGAGTATCAAGCACTGCCTTACAGAACGAGACAAATGGAAAAGTTCGTTAACTCATAAAATACTCTAAATCATAAATCGAAAATATAAAATAGGACTACACTCGCTAAAAGTAAACCACCAATATATGAGCAAAGTTAGAATAACATGCTTGTAATTTCATACTATCTAGAATCTGACCAACAATACGATCCTCAAACGTTCGCATTATGTCCTTCAGTGAGTTAATTGAAGCCTTCAACTCCAACATGTCTCTTTTATGCTTGCGCATAATCCGTTGCAACTGACATTTGGTGACTGCACCGTCATTAACTCTCATCGAATTGGTGAACTACAATAACAAAAATTACTATGTTATTCGATAATCATATATGGAATTGTTGAACATAAGCCATTAAAACTTTAATATCCTTACTGGTAGCTCATTAGCATTATGCGTCTGAGCAAGACCTGTCCATAATTAAAGAGCTCTCATCATGTCGATCAACTATAATAATAGAAATTCCTATTTTATTCGATAATCATATATGGAATTGTTAACACAAGCCATTAAAACTGTCCTCACCAATGGGTCATTAGCATTGTGCATTTGAACAAGACCTATCGGTGGTTGAGGAGTTTCATCACATCAGTCAATTGCGATAACAGAAATTACTGTGTTATTGGATAATCACATATGGAATTATTGAACATAATCCATAAGAACCATCCTTACATGCAGTTCATTGACATTGCCATGGTCGTCCCCTTCCTTTATCAACTTAAGGTCTAATAGCTTATCATCTCTAGAAGTGACTGTGTGCCTCCGTTTAACGAGACCAGCGGCTCTTTTCTCCTTTAGGTTTCTCTTCTTTTCCCTCGCACCTAAATCTTATTCCTTTTGATCCTCAATGTGTCTTATTGGCATGTACTGGTGACTTTCAAATAGGGGGCATTGATGTCCATACAATATTCTTGTGTGATCTCATCCAAGATGGGCTCTAAGGTTTCATATGCCTAAAACTGCAAAATAGGTATTTTGACAAATTTTATGATAATTATTATACAAATTCACAGCATAAATTAGTAGCTATTCACTCACTTGCTGAGATGACTCCAACCTCTCAACCGCCTTATAAAAGTCTTTTTGCTTTTGATTGCATTGCCATTTGCACATACATAGGTAGACATTGTCCTTCGGATTAGAAGAGCCAAATAATTTTCAAAAGGCAAGAATCGTTTCCATTTCCTAAAATTGCAAGTCAAATGTAACCATTATCTTACTGTAAATGATAAACGAGTGCAACCATAAAATATTATGTCAAAAAGAAACTTCAAAATGTTACGTGACAGTACCTGTATCACCCACGTAAATCTATAAATATTATAGCGTAAACAATTATTCTTCTGCAAGTTTGGGGCAGCCACTTCAAACCCCTTATATAGGTAGTCCTTAATCAACCTCCAAACATATTGACCCTATGGGAAGACATTCCAAGTGTCGATGTCCTCCAACAATGACAAGAGCCAAAGCGTCACCCATCTACAGCAGTCTTGAATAAATAAAATATTATTCGAGATCAAGACAAGTGCCATCTTGGTTGTGTCCCTTAGTCATTGAAAGTTGCCTCCTCAGAACGTATCAAGCAACGCCTGTAGCTTAACACTCTGCTGCCTATTCCAGTATCTTGCATGAATTTTATCGGGGAGCAACCTCGTACGGTCTTGTGAATACGTTGGGTAGTGGCCAAACTTGAGTCCAATGATAAGGCGGAACCCTTGCTTTGATACATGCGCATTGGACTTGCCAATGGCAAACCATAACTCATGGTCCATTAACTCTGTCTCGGTAATTTAACGAATCATGATGTTTTATAGGAGACCAACGCAAAAGTCACCTTGTGGATATATCTCTAATAGCATTCTGAAGCATGTACACTTAATTATATCGTATTCCTTTTTTTCTTGGAGAATCTTGTTCATATAATGTAGTTGCACCCACTTACAGTGGGTGTTAATGGAGACCTTGATTGCCCATTTCTCCCTCTGCTCAACAAGCAAAGTGTCAAGGTTATCATACTCTCAACTGCATCTGCAAAACATAGCACACATGCATGTGTGAGATAGACCAATAAACAATTAATCCATATTGTGTGACACTGTAGACTAAAGAAAGAAATAAATGTTGTTACACACCATGCATACCAAGTTAAATTTTATTGGACACTATGCATACCAAGTCAAATGTTGTTACACACTATGCATATCAAGTAAAATGTTGTTACACACTAAGCATATCAAGTAAAGTGTCGTTACACACTAAGCCTACTAACTCAAATGTTGTTACACACCAACACTAAGCCATGTCGTGACACTCCAATCATACGATGTCATGGCATGCCAAACCTACTATGTCATGACATGTCAACTATAATTATTGATTCATTACATGAACTACCCTAAAATACCCAATGTGGTGACACGTTAAGGACTTTGCGATTTATCCCTTAAACCCCATACAAAAGCTAAAAACCCCAAATCGGTTAACCTACTACATGCCAAATCAAAGACATTTTCATTCATGTTACACGATATGCAGACCCCCTTTAAAACTTTGGCATGACCATAAACCATGTCAGTAAAAATGTTGTAGTTCTCTCCACAATTCACCCAAAAACTATAAAACTAGGGATAAAACAACTAAAACAAATGCAAAAACACAAACATATCATAGTAACCCAGCAAAAAATTACCAAACAAAAGAAAGTTTTAATTGACAACTGACTGACCTTTTCACTGAAAATCGGCATTGTTGCTGTGATGTCGTTAAGTTTGCATAGAACAAAGTCAAACACTTTGGTCCCTTTGGATTCACATCTTCCTCATTTTGATTCACCACCGTATTAGGGATTTTGGCTTCACATCATTCTTTAAGCTTTGGATTCATCATGACCGGTTCCTCGCTCAGTTTAATATCAACCTTCTTGTACTATCTGAAACACAATTTCAACGGAACACAGTAATGCACATTTAACAACAAAACACTAAACCACATTATCAATCAATATGGCATTCAAATCACTAAACCCATAAAAAAATTGACATTCATTTACTGACTTACTATGTAATAATTGTAAACTTGTTCCAACACTTTCCTACCCCTGACTTTCAATCAAAAGATCATTCAATAGACCTGTCCTGTAATATGCATGGCATTTTTTGTTTACGACGATGTTCAAAATATCAGAAAAACCGTCTCCTACAATATAATTTTGTTTTGCACAAGCTTCTTGAAAAACAAATGGATGTTTTGCACAAAATTAAAAGGAACAAATTCTGTGCAGATTTGTTTTCCTCAATATGCGCGTGAAGGAGAGTGCGCGTCAATGAAGAGGTCTCATTAAGGGTATTTTTGTCTCAAAATCTCATCTCTTGGCTAAAAACAATTAAAATTATTTGAAGGGTTATTTTCAAGAACACCTTATATTTCAAGGCTTAAGAAAAATTTCACCTAAAAAAGATGCCTATTCTTGAGAATGATCATTCTTTGACCTAAAGCTGAACCATAAAGTAATATATTTGATCACCAGAAATAATCCTGAAATGAAATAAGCATTGAAGTAAACCAAACATGGTGTTGAAGTAGTAGTGATAGTGTGAATTTGGTTTCAATGCATGGTTTTGTTTGAACCTTGCAATTGTGAAGGATTAGGTGATCAAAGCTCAAAGTCTAAGCTAGGCCAATGCTTAATAATTATCTTCAGGCAAAATCAATAACTGTCTCTCTAACTTGCATCTCCAGTACAAGGCCAGCCGAAACTTACCAGCACATTTCATTTAAGTGAATCTGTCACTCCTTTAAATATGGGTATCACCATATACCTTCTAATCTAAAATTCTCTCTCTCTCTCTCTCTCTCTCTCTCTCTCTCCACTATATTGACTTAACATGTTTTATGATGTCCTTAATTTCATTTAAGGGATGGAGTTCCATCACAATTGATCAAGGCATCAATAGAAGTGATTTATAGATAAATATGATTTATGATGTTGAAATGTAACCTATTGTTGTCATTACAAGATCTGTGAATATCGTTCTTATAATTGACTATGTGATTCAAAGCCTTGCTAATGAGGTTTAAGAATAGGCACAACATTACCCTTTGAAGGGCGAATAAGAGAGATTTCTTTAACAAAGTTTTGCCGCTCATTCTAATCGTATGATTTGTATATTTCCCCTCATCCCTTGTGTACCGCCCACTAATTAATATTCAAGTCCGACACTATATATCCCTCACGTATTAATTTTTTACTTTTTGTTTTCTATTTTTTTTATTTACAAAAAAGATGAAAGTAAAATATAACAATATCAATCAAATAAGAACGTAATTGAAAGTATTTTAGGTTTGTTTTTCCTATAAAAATATGAAAAAGAAGTCTAGAATTATTCTTTCCTTTTAAAACAACTTGAATTGTTTATATAGTTATATCCACCTTCTTAATTAAATTAACTCTTATTCTTCATATGAGTCACCTAAACTCTAATAAACTCTTCCCCAGAACTCAATTGTTTTTCAATTAGACAATCTTTACGTGCACCTTAGACAAACACTTGGGTTGTTGCCCATCCTCTTCCCCTCCATATTATTTATGCACACATTCACTTTTCATTCCCTTCCAAAACAACTTTAAACAAGGTTTGTACATTACCTGGATGTCTTCCTCATTCTCCTTAATTAATTTAATGTCCACGAGTCTTTAGATAATTTTTTCTTGATTTAATTTCCTCCTTAATGTTATATATCTATATACACACATATTGAAGTTAGTTTATTGTGAGGTTGATGATGATAACATATGTAAAAGTTTGACTAGCTTGTAGTGTTTGTTAATAGTTTACTTTCATATTAATCGATCATCTTAAACAATTAGGATGCAAAGGAATAATAATAACGGTGTGGCAGCAGCAGGAGTACATCCAGCATGCGCTGCATGCAAGCATCAAAGGAAGAAATGCGATGAAAATTGCATTCTGGCACCTTATTTCCCAGCGGATAGGAGTCGAGAATTTCAGGCGGTGCACAAAGTTTTCGGTGTTAGCAATGCAACAAAAATAGTGCGCAATGCAAATACTGAAGAAGATCGAAAAAGGGTTGCTGATTCATTGATTTGGGAGGCCTTTTGTAGGCAAAAGGATCCGGTGTTAGGGCCCTACGGAGAGTATAGGAAAATTTATGAAGAGCTCACGTTGTATAAAAGCCAAAACCAAATGATGCTCCTGCAAGTACAAGGGCGAGATGAAGAGGCTGCTGCTGCTGCTGCTGCGTTCAAAATGCCTCCTGCTGTTACAGAATGGAACAACAATGGTAATAAGAGAATTGATGTTAAAGGAGCTTTTAACAATCCTGCATTGCGCTACGATCATGGAGATTCTCTTGTTCATTTCACCACATACGGCTACCCTTCACACTCAGACAAACCTTCAGTGCAAGAAAAAGGCATCCACAATGCTACTACCCTTGTTCCACTGCAATACTACCCTTCAGGTAACTTATTCTCATTTCCAGAGGAAAACTACGAGTACCCCACCTCATCATGTCGTTTAATTTCTAGGATTTTAGTTGTATTCTCTCCATTATATAGCTGTATTAGAAACACAATTACTTTCATAATCTTTCATGACCAAGCTTACAATATTCCATATACCTATCTGCCTAGCTATAATTATATGTATTAACTAATATTTCCATACAAAGGTTTTCTCCATGATAGTAGCACCCCCAACTTAATTTCTTAATCTTTAAATATTCCAAGAAAAATTCTAGCTAATCGGAATGGTCTAGACACTAGACTAAACTAATTAATTAGGAAAGTTGGAACCCAAATTCATTTCTAAATTAGATTCCTCTTTTGTTCTTTCCTTCAGATGTAGGTCATATCAGTGGCAGGACACTGGAAAGCACAAGATGGGATAACATACTATAGTTCTTAATTTCTTGGATTGGAGAAGACCGCACCGTTGGAAAGTAAATTAAATTTAGCATGCCATGCATGCAGATGTGATTGAAGTTCTTATTTATATATCTTCAGCTGAGTTAAAGTTGAATATTCCTTTTTGGTTTGATCTCTCAATTTGTCCTTTAACCGTCGAATACTTCCTCAAAAATTGGCCTTGGTTGTATTCGAGTGATTATTCCCAGAATTCGTTCATTATAAAGTAAGATGGATGCTTTATGTGTGTGGGTGCGTGTTTGTGTTTGAGAATGTGTGTGCATGCAATACCGGCCCCAAGGGTAAAGCCACCAAAGCAGTGGCTTTAGCTTCAAATTTTCATAGATCTCTTAATTTTATAATAATATAATTAATTATATTAAAAATATATAAAAATTAAGATAATTATTAAAATATTTATCTATTCTCTTAGATTTAATAAATATCTTTTTACTCTCTCTTTCACATCCTTATTAATTCTCTCATTTCCCATTTTAAGGTCAAGATAATTGAAATTCTCAACTTCTTCTCAGAGGAAAGAATTACTTATTGTCATATTTATCCCATGTAAAAAATAATAGTTTCTAAAAAAGTTTGTATTTGATGCAGCATTAGTGTATAAATTTAATTCATTATCATTTAATCAAATACTATCATCTTATTATTAAATAAATTTAAAAGTCAAAAATATTTAAAAATAAATACTCTTATTTTTAAAATATTTATTTTAAAAAAATTTTAAATTTTTATTTCTATGTATTTATAAAGTGACACTCAAAGATCAAAAATATTTCAAGAAAGATTAAATAGATTGACTATATTGTTAATTAAAATAAAATATTAGAAGAACTTGAAAATAAAAGTTTAATTAAAAATTTTACATCTCAAAAAACAAATAAAATTTTTTTCTTAACGTCAATAAAAAAAAAAGCATCATTTGAATATTTCACTTTATGCTTTTAAAGTTATTGAATTGTCTGTGTGTGCATTTAAATAAAGACACTTTCAGAAGGCTTTCTTAAGGTAATAGTTTCCCACTAGGATGTAGATGAACTCTTGGTAACCTTATCTCTAGGATACCATGCCTATAAAATAATGAATCAAAGATTGAATTTATGAGATTCTCTTGAAGACACTTGAACCTGTTTCAATTTTTGTTTTTTTGAAAGCAAGATGAAAGTATTTTAGAATGATTGATTGTCGTTTGTTGTTGTAAGGGCTATTAGGGAGTATATTTTATAGGCTTCAAATGGTGTTTTTGACACCCATTCGTGAATGAATATATTTCTTCCCAAATATTACATTACAGTCTTTAAGAATGAAAAGCCAATCTCAAATGTTCAAAAAATTCAAATTTGTTAGTGATTAATCAAAGTTCATCGATAACTCATATTGCCATAAATTTAGTCACATTAATCAATTAATTGATCAACTAATTTGCTTTTAAAAACTTTAGACCACCAGCTAATAGCAATACTCCATTAACTTGTTGGGCCAACACTTGATTTCTGTGTTGCTTTAACTTATTAACATTAGACCTTAATTTGATGCATTTTCTCCATTCTTTCTCTTTCCAATTTCCAATGATTTTATAAATTAAAAATAAACTTAAAAATAATATGAAACCAAAAACTTATTAAGTTTTTTGGTTAATTTCTCCAAGATTTAAGTTGACTTATCAACCTTGTTTTTACTATGGAGCCCGGAATACAATCACCTGATCGAAAAACACTATCTTGCCACAACCCATCATACCATTTTCTCTTTGTTTGTTGTTCTTGATAAAAGATGTTCTATGTTCTATATTTTTTTTCCTATGAAAATTCATTTTACTAAGTGTTAAGAGAGATAGATAGAGAGAGGGTCGATTTTTGCTATACTGGTATGAAACCCCAAATATTAATAAAATGTTAAAATAGTAACTCAGCTTGGTGAGCATGTAAATTTGTGATTTCTAATGATATTTTCGAACGTGTACAATATAGAAATTTGTATTTTGATTACCAAATGAATTTATCTAAAATATGGGACTTAGAGAGGGTCAAATGCCTTGGTTCTAGTCTTGAAAACTGCATTCTAGACCAAAAGTATATATACCAATCTATAAAGTATTGATACTTGCAACCCAAAAATGCATTTGATGAACGAAGTATCGATACTCGATGAACAACTATCAATACCTTCAAATCTAGAATAAAAGTGTTGATAGTTACTCCAAAAGTATTGATACCTCTATCGTAAATTGAAAAAAATAAAGGTAAGATATAGACTTTTCCTTAATATTTTAAAACCCTAAAACCTTAAATTTTTTTTCAAAACAACAAAAGCACATTCTCTCTCTTGTCTCAACCTTTCTTTTCTCTCAACTCTCTCCCATCATTTGCAAGCATTTTCAAGCATTTGAAAATCGTACCTAAGTTCAAATTTTGATTCTAAAGGCTTCTGGAGATAAGGTTTTCTCATTTTAAATATCTAAACTTTGGATTTTGATTTTAAGAATTTATATCTCATTAAAGATTCATTTCACTCTCAAAAACAAAGGTTTTTGAGTGCTTTTAGGTACTTTCAAGCTCACCAAGATAAATTTGCTCAAATCCCTAGCTAGTTGAAGTATGAATTCTTAGTTAGGTTAGATTTAGCCACTAATCATTGGATTAGATTAAGTAGTAAAGTTAGTAAAAGGATTGTTACTGATGAAGGTTATCCCTAAAGAATAAGGTATTAACAATGGATTACTATTGGATAGGTGCTATTAGAAAAGTTGGCGTTAGTTTTATTAGCTTTAAATTGATTATAGTTTTGAAATGACAAAAATGATTAAAATGGCTTGAATGAGTTTTGCACTTAAATTATTCATGTTAAAAACTCCCACGCATTTGCTTTTGAAATGTGTAAGTACTTAACATAGTTTTAAAGACATTAAACTTTTAAATCTATGAGTGTTTTGTCATCATTAAAAAAAGGGGATATTGTTGACACTATATGTTTTTATGATAAGAAAACATTCTTCATTCTTAAAGTCTAAATATGTTAATTGAGTGTGCAATGGTAAAATTGATATTTTAGTGTATATCTTACACCTTAAATACTCTAGGAAAAGTTTCAAGTTCAAAGAAAGCAATTCAAGCAAGTTAAAAGGCATTTTGTGAAGTTTAAATGATTAACATATCAATTTAATCGATCAATCAAGCTAAAAAAAAAGGATTCAGAACTTCAAAAAAGACTTTAATCGATTAACACAAGGTTTAATCAGTTAAAATAACATTGGAAGATACATTGAGACTACAGGAACAAGTTTAATTAATTAAAGAGGTACTGGAAGAGATGTTACAACAAAATTAATTAATTAACCATAGGGTTTAATCGATTAAAATTCAAACAGAAAGTATTTCATAGCTTCAAAGTGAAAATTCAAATTAGAGATGATCATTGAATGGCGTTAATTGAAGAAATTTGAATTCAGGAAGACTTTAATTAGCTAAAGGTCAGATTAATCGATTAAGGAGGAAATAGAAAGGTATTAATTGGTTAAAGTCGAGAGTAATCGCTTAACTTGTAGAGCAGTGAGATAGACAGAAAGATTTTAATCGATTAAAGCTCACTTTAATTGATTAAGTAAGCCAGTTGACCAAATTCAAAAAATCAGTGCAAGACAAAATAACGGGTAGATTATTTCTAACTGATTAAGGCTTTTTTGTCTTGCTTTTATCTGGTGCCCAAATATGCCTTAACTAGTTAAGGCTCCATGTTAATTAATTAATGGTTTTCTATTTTCACTAATCACTTTCTTCTTTCTTTTTTTAACTAATTAACCCATCTTCAAATTTAGCAAGAGTTTTGATTTACCTTTAATTAACAAATTTCTTAGACGAATTAAACTATATCCTACACACTTAAGTAGCGAAATTAGACATTAATAAATAAGGAATATTTTGTTATTATAAAAAACATATAGATTCAACACTAGTATGATTGGATTATGGTTTGATTACGTGCATGGGAAGCACTTCTAAACCATATCTGCATAGCAAGGTAACTAATCAACCTCAATTAAGAATCTATCAAGTATGCAAAAAGTAGCTTCCTTTTTCCTACTACACCGCGTGAACTCCCCGCATGCCATTGGTAAGTCCATTAAAGCTACCTCTTGTACAAAGTTGGCAAAAGCATTTGCAAATCTTGATACATTACATTTTCCCACCTTTTCCTCCTTACTCTTGATAGAGTTAAAGTCTCCATCCAAGGCACCACCACACATCACAATTTTGCAACTTACATAATAGCCTCAGCCAAAGCTCAACTCTTCTTGGTTCATTAGGCAGAGCGTAAACATTTAATAATCCACTAACTCTATCAATGACATGTAATTTTTATTAAGAATTTGCTCCTCCATCATAAAAAAATCTTCCCTCCTTGCCATAAGAAAGCCTCTTAACTAACTCTCCAACTCTACACTGATGCCTTTTATTTTATCTTTATCCCGAAGTGACTCAGACACATTCTGAAACTTTTTTTTTCAACTTTGTCTCTTGTAAAAACATTACTGTTGAATTCTCCTTATTTATAACCCTCCTTATAACTTTCTTTTTCTCCTTTGCACGCATCTCTAACATTCCTAGTTAAAACTTTCATAGTAACAACTAAACATTATATTATTTTACTTTGACAAACCCTTAAAAGAAGTCTCATAATAAAGGTTCTCCTAACAATTATTAAGCCTATGATTCGTTTAATACAAAAGAAATAAGAGTTTAATTAAATAAAGTGAAAATATTAAAATACGTATTCAATATTTGTAGTCTTAAAAAAATTTTAAAAAAAAATAACAGCAAAAGACCCATTGACCCTTGGGTCAAGTCCAAGCTGAAGAGGCGATTCGACGCTTCACCAAAAGACCCATTGCGGTGTGAGAGGAAACAAGGAATGGTGTTGAAGGCAATCCAGAAGTGTTTTCATGGAGACATCATGTGTTAGTTTGAAACACAGCTTCTCCGTTTGTGTTGTTGTCTCCTTTTTCCTGGTTGTTTCTTCTCTTCCCCTCGGTATCCACCCGCTAGGTATTCCAATTCCCAATTTCCATACCTAGTTTCTCACAACTCAATATATTCATCAGTCTTTTTTTTGTTTCTTTTTAATTTATAAATAGATGAGAAGTATTTCGCTGCGGAGGTTATCAAGTGTAAGGATGGGTCCAAATCATTTGACAGAGACCGCCTAAACGACAACTTCTGTGACTGCATTGACGGCACCGATGAGCCTGGTATTGCTCTCATCTGTCACAATTCGCAATCCAATGGCTTGGATTAAAGTTTGGTTCTATTCTTGGAGAAAGATTCTTTTTACTGTTTATCTGAGTTGCTAGTATTTGATTCCATCTCCAACTTAAACTGCAATTGCTTGCTTTGTAATTTGTGCTGGCGTGGTCTTTTTGGGATAGCTTAATGCAATTTAGTTAGCAGATTTTTTGATAATTGGTTGAATGGTAAAGCAGATTGCACCTTGACGATCCTATGCTGATTACTTTAGTTTTCGATAGTTTGGGTTTTATGAGAGCTTTCAAGTGCTAATTGATGAAATATCATTAACTACCATATCTGCTCAAACAAGAGAAAATAGGGATCATAACTGTGGAAAGCTTACATTTCAAAGATGAGTTGCTAGTAGGATCAAGGTCAACAGCCAAGCTACTGATACACAAGAGGTTAGGAACCTAGTTAAATATGTATCTATTTTGTCTGAAACTGTGGGTACATAAACCTCTTCTGTTAGAAGTGTTTCCATTAGCTGTTGTTGTTGCTTTCTCTCTCTTCAATGGAGCACAAAGTTATCCTTGTGTGTTTGTCTTAAGTACTGTATAACCTAGCTTATTGAAATTTACCATTTCTTAGGTTCATCATGATTTGAGTCAATCTTTCTTGTGACTGGTGTACCAAATGTTTTATCTTTGCACTAAAATTTGGTATCTTCATCAATTTTTGGTGCTGGAGTTGGGTACACTGTCTCAAATTATGCTTTCTAATGATATTGGTTGCATCAATTTAATTACTTAATTATGTGCGTTTTATCAATAGGGAAGTGCATTTGATATCTCTTTTCTGCAAAGATTGATTTGAACATTAGAAATAAATATTATTTTTCATTGCTTTTTGTTACTGATTTCATGAGTCCCTTGGCCTCCCTTTTTTGTTTGTGCAGGGACTTCAGCTTGCCCAGCAGGCAAATTTTACTGTAGGAATGTAGGAAGTATGCCTCAATTCATTTTTTCTTCTCGTGTCAATGATCGTTTTTGTGGTCAGTATTATTTGAACCTTTTTGATCTTCTTTATGATCTTACAACTGGTTAAGGTTGCAGTAATTCTTTTGTAAACATGGATGGGTAGTTCAGGCTAGAAACTAACAATGTTCCAGGAAATGTTTCATTTTTCATGGAATGGGATAGCTAGTGATTCTGATAATTGGAGTGGTTCTTTTGGGTTCCATGGTGGTGGATGTTATTGTAATAATTTTTAGGTTATTTCAATTCTACGGTTTAGGTCCTTCTACTCCAAATTTAATGAATTTAACCTCTATACTTTTGCTAAAAGTCAATTGAAGAAATAAAGTAATGATGTTAAACTTCTGTGGTTAAATTTGGTTGTGTGGCTTTTTTTAGTTGATAATTTGACATGTTGACCTGATTCTTTATCTACAAAAAAAGAAAAAAGAAACTTTATTTTTAATGTTAAATACTATTGTTATTAGAATTTAAAATATCAATTATTATTTAATTAAAATAAAATGTGATGTTTTTGAGACTGATATGCTTTGCGAAGTCAAAAGATTAATTCTCTTCAGCATGCTAGGTCATCAGCAAATGACACGTCATCCAAGTTAAAAGTATAATATTAACATTATTATCAATCGTCCTTAAATTGACTTTCATTAAAAGTGTAGGACTAAATTCATTAAAATTGGGAAAAAGAGTCAAACTATCAAATTGAGATAAAAGTACCAAATTCAAACTTCAACTTAATTTTTAATACTTTGAATTAAATTATTGGTTTAGCAGGAACAACTAGGATTGCATCTTTGCATGCCTTTTTGTGACTCATTCTTAAATTTTTATTTGTTTTAAGGACCAACTCTAGAACTAAAAACAAGTCTCCAACCAAATGCTCTAATGATGTTGACACTTTTTTACTACTAGTACTGATTCTTAATTTCTAAGGTTCTGAGACTGATATTCTAGTCTGTATGATTTTCCTTATTTTGATTGTTTGTTAAATAAATGCATCATCTATCAGACTGCTGTGACGGAAGTGATGAGTATGATGGTGGCATCATGTGTCCCAACACATGCATCATGGGTGGTAATGTCGAGTTCAAATCTGAAAGTTATATTTCTACGAGTAATCTGCCGTCTACTGAAGTGAAGCAAACGATGATTGGAATTAATTTGGAAGATTTGATTCAGACGCTTGCAGGTATTGAAAGTAATTCATGAAATTGAAATGGTCATCATCTATTTGTTAGACTTGAAAATCTCACTTCAAGTGTGTGTTTCAGTTTGTGTTTGAGTTTTGTTTCTTGTTAAGCTTCAATTAGGGAATGGCAGCAAGGTAGATATGGGGAGAATGCGCTCCCCGTACCTACCCTCACCCTTCATTCCCCTCCCTCATCCTTGCCTCTATGGATACGCCGTCCCCCAATCAACAATACTCAACATTTAAACTTAACATTTGAATGAACATTCAAACTAATATTTGAAGTCCTAAACTGCTATACTAACACGTGAAATTTATGATTTGAATTATTACATTTGACACTAAATAATGTAATTAAATAAGAATTAAATTAGCAGTAAATTAAAAAATATGCAGTACTGAAAAAGATTTATCAATTACGAATATTAACTAATACGGTATGTTGACTTTAAACATTTATTTTACTAGTTCAAATCTTGAAAAGTATAATGCATATTTAATACAGAATACAAATATCCGAGATGGGGTGGGCGTGGCATGGCAATGCAGTGAGGGGTAACCTCCTCCATCCCTTCATACACCTCCTGAAGGTGGGTTGCCAATTGGGACAAGTCTAATTAAGATATCTAGCTTCAACTTGTATTTTGATGGTGAGAAGAGTCCAATGTAGAAATGAGATGAGCTAGAGATGTGCTAATTAATTCCCGAAACTTTTTTAGGGTTTAGAACCTTTATCATTTTATCATCTTTCTGTTGGACTTGTAAATGTCATTTGGGGTGCATACTTTTGTTTATGTGATTTTTTTCTCTTCTGTTTAAAAGAAATTATGAACACTAACTTGGGCCTTGATGAATCTAGATTTGAAGATGATAATAATAGCAGAGGTGGCTCTTGGTTGTTTTCTGGTGGTTCAATTTTACAAGCGTGTCGGGTCTAAGAAAAGACGTTACCGATGAAGGAACCAACCATTGGTTCTCAATTTTATTTATGGTAATATTCTAGAATATCCTTTTCTTTTCTTTACTTTTTAATTTTCATTTCCTTATTACCTTGATCCTTACCGGAGCATGGTAGTGTATTCTTTAGAAGGTTTCCTTGAAGGCATATTGAGGAGTAAAGGGGGTATATATCTTTTTGTTTATAATATAACTATTGTAATTGACCTAGGCTTACAGAATTGAGATTGGATCATTGACGATGGTGTCTCAATTGCATACATTTTTATAGTGATTAAAAGGTGTACACAGAAAGAGTATACAACTTTGGTAGACGGCTGTTATACCGGCATCCTTGATATGTGAATTGACTATATATTTGGATACCAAGTATTAAATTCAGGAGCAAGACCTATTGAAGCCTGGACCATGGTTTTTTGGCATATGTACATGCAGGATGTGAATAGGCTCTTATATGGAATTTTCCTCCTAATCTTATATCTTAAGAGGGTAGATGCAATATTTAGTACGTAAAGAATAAAATCTAAAGAAAAAAGAGCTTAAAGAAAAGCTCCAATTAGGAGTTTTTTTTTAAAAAAAGCACGTCAACTTATTAGGAGAGTTATTTTTTCCCAAGAAGATCATTTCTCTCAAAAAATACTCCTCTCCTTATCGATCTCTCTTTTCTTGCAAATCATCATTCTAAGATTTTTTATTGCTTTTACAAAAATTAAAAAAAAAAGATTCAAAATTCTAAGTTGTATTCATGTATTATTTTTTTCTTTCTATTTTGTTTTTAATTTTATTTTTTATTTTTTTAGATTTTGAAAACTCTCTTTATTAGTTGATATTTTTCAATTTATTGTTTGATATGATAATTATATGATGTTTATTTAGTCTTAACTTTTTTATGGTGTACATAATATTTGATTATTATAATTGAAATAAGTAATTAAATAAGTAAATGATTGTTGATGTAAATTATATGAAAATTGAAATAATATTTGTTGATTATGGTTGTTGAGATAGTATTATTCATGGGAGTAAACTTTGTTGGTAAGGACATCAATAACTAAATGTGATTTTTCTGAATTATTAGTAGCACACAAGACTTCTCTTCTTTTTTTATGGCTTTCTTTTATCTTTCATTTTTTTTATTTGATTCAATTTTTCTCATGATTTTATTTATTTATTAATCAATAAAAAACTATTTATGAATTATGTGCTATTTATAAATTATTTGTTAAACTTTTTTTTATAATTTATTATTAATTATAAACTTTATGTTATAAATTTTTTTATATATTTTTAAAAATTTATTTTAAATAAATAAAAAATAAAGTTAATTTTTTTATTATGAATAAAGAAATTCGTGATTAATAAAAGGTTATTTATTAATTACTTTTTATGGTAATTTTAGTGAAAGTTAGAGTTTATATAAGTTGTTTTGTCAAACAACTTATTTATAAAAAAGAATTTATAAAAGGTAAATTTATCAACTAATTTTAATTTAATTTTAAAAGTTATTATTTTTCATAAAAATTTTATAATAACTTTTAAGTTAAAAAAAAAAAATCAGGTCAAACATACTTTTAGATGTTATCATCTTATATGTCAATAGGTTGGGAAAGATTTAAAATTGGGCTAAGGTAAAAATTTAGAACCCGTTCCATAAAGTGCAAAAGGGTAAATGAGTTTATACTTGTAAGTCAACTTATTAAGAATTTAAGAGCTTTAAAACCCAAAAAGTACATATATGGAAAATAGTAAGAGTTCAAGTCCATACTGAAAATAGTATATATCTTGCTTAGGCCTTGCCTACTTTTAAGCCGAACGGAAAAGATAAAATGAATAAAACATGAAAGGTAAGTTTTACTGTCAAGAATCTACCGCGACAAAAAAAAATTATTGATTGAAGATGAAGATAACAAAGATATTTCAAATGCGATCAAATGTCTTGTTTCTAAAATAATTAATGTTATTAACTTTCAAACGTTTTAAAACTGATTGTTAAGTAATTTTGATGGTCAACTAAGCATTAACTCTTGCATATTATAGATTCAACAGGATTTATAGAAAACTCAAGAAAAAGAATATGCATGGGATCTTTAGGGACTTCTTTCTACAGTTATCGGTTCAAGTCCATATCATCCCATGATTAATATTTTTATTTAAAATTTTTTAATTTAATTTTCTTTTTTTAATTTCTTAAATTCATTAAATAAATGTTATTCGCCCATTAATTTTAATAATGGACCTTTTTAGAGAAAAAAAAAATATCAATGAAGTACTTTTCATTATAATTTTTACTAATCAGTTCTTTCATTACACCATATCTCTCATAGATTTTATGAATAATTAAATATAATATCAATTTATCAATTTCATTCTTGTTCGACTTTGAAAAATATTTTTTTAAAAAATATTTAATGTTTAATATTAATATATTTCATATAATTCTAAAACAATTTTAGGAAACACAGTGATTAAATTTCTTGAGTTCAACAATTTTATGAAAATTGCTTGAATATCTTTCTCAATAAATAATCATGAATCCTTTATTGAGCATCTAATATAATTTATTTATCACGTATGTAACCTAATGTATAAGGGTATAACCTTTAAATTCAATATCATTTATTGGTAACATTGAAGTCATATAAATTTAAAAAAATATATATTGATCTCTCATGTTTAAGGACAATTAATAAATTGTAATAAAGCTTCCTTTATTTCTAACATTAACAAGCTCATATGATACTCTTTTAATCAGATCTTGTTCAATGCATGCATTGCATACACTACACATACTTGTTTGTTTTAAGGTCACTACTCGTATGGCAGAATTCAAACATTCTGTTTTTGATATAGGCATAACAAGCGTAAGGTTTAAACATTTTGTCACATTCATAGCATAAAATAATTTTGGTAAGCAAAGAATTTGAGAACTATAACTTTTCGATTAATATTTCAGTAACCATCAATATAGCTTTTTTACAATGTCACCAAATAATTTATGATCGTATTATATCATAAATGAATATAATATCCATTAAAATATATTATATGTGAAACAATAATTAACATATCAATTTATTTATCTAATAAATAAATAATAAAATTTGTTTTTAAAGACATATGTCTAACAATTTCCCATTTGCGCTTAAAACCAATCATACATAATCAATGGATTTGCTACATTTTCAATTGAAACAATCTTTGCTATTGTAACATCCCCTTTATGTATAATATCATTCAAGTGGAATCTATGCTTTGTGTTTCATTTTCTAGTAAGCTCTTGGCTCCAAAAGATGTTCCACATTTCAATTGAAGTAGTCTTCGCTATTGTGACATCCCTTTTATGTATAATGTCATGAATCAATTGGAATCTATACTTTGTGTTTTCATTTTTTTTGGTGAGTTCTTGGCTCCATAGCGTTTGCTACTTCTCACTATTATTGCAATAAAAAATAACAAGAAAATTTATAAGGGGAACAACACCACATTCTTGTACAAATTTCGAAATCCATATAGCTTCCTTTGTAGTTTCACTTACAACAACATAGTTTGCTTTAGTGGTGGAATCCGTAGTAGCACCTTGCTTTCAACTTTTTTGAGTTATTGCTTTTTTCCCAAAGTGAGAACAAACCTACAAGCTAATTTTCTCTCATCCACAACTGATTATAATCTAAATTTATGTAGCTTGTTAACAGTAAATCTTCTCCACCAAACACTAAGTAATAATGCTTAGTTTGATTCAAATATTTCAATATGTGTTTCATTTTTGTCCAATGTTCTAGGCCTGGAGTATATTGATATCAATTAACAACGTCAACTACCTAATAAATATTCGGCCTAATACATAGCATGGTAGATATAAGACTTCCTTCTATTGATGCATAAGGATAGATTTTCATCTTCTTTCTTTTTGTGAGTAAGGAGATATTCTCTTTGAGAGATGAATTCCATGTCTAAAGGGTAAAAAATTATTTTCTTAAAATTATGCATTCTAAACTTAGTCAATATCTTGTAAATATAATTTGCTTGGGACAATCCTAACAGTTTTTTCTTTTGATCTCTAAACAATTTTATCTTGAGTATATAGTATACTTCACCAAGATTCTTCATAGTGAAGTAGATAACCAAATCTGTACTGATTATATTGCACCTACATCATTCTTAATGAGTAGTATATCATCTACATAGAGATGTTCTAACTTTGAGATGCTCGCAAACTTTTGTTTCTTGACCTTGGTCATATGATTCAAAATGAAAGGGATTTAGGTATCTTTCTTTATGAAACTCAGTGATTCTTTTCTCATTGATATGACCAAGTCTACAACACTGTATGTAAAATTGATTTGGACTGTCAAAATTTGTTTCCTTAACATTTAAGTTTAGCATTTTTCTTTTTGGTTCAAGAATATACAATCCCATTGCATAATTTGTTGTACCATAAAAAAAACATTATCTAGTAAAAGTAATAACAATTGTCTTTTATCTAAAATTCGAAATCATCATATACTGCTAAGTCTGAAACCAAAATAATGCTTCTTGAAAAAAGCGAGAGAGAGAAAGGAGAAAGAGAAAGAGAGTGAAAGAGAAGGAAAGTTTGAAATCATCCATTAACCTTTTTTGAAAGAAATGAGGAAATAAGGGTTAGCAATAGCAAAACTTGACAACTGGTGGCTATATATAGGTTTTTTGTTGAAAGAAAAAAGAGAAAAAGAACGGAAAACAAATAAGGGTTTAGGGAAAACTAAATTGATTAAATGGTTGAATAGGTTGACAAGAGAAGGAAAAGTTATTTTTTAGGTGTCAATGGTTGGTGACATATAGAGGTTAACGATGATCGATGGTAAACAATGTTGGATTTTGGGTTTAGCGAGAGAGCAAGAGGAAGGCAACTAGGTTTAATGAGAGAAGGAGATGAGAGAAAATGAAGGAAAAAAGATTTATATAGTTACAGTTTAAGGATACTTTTTATATATTTGCCAAAATTATGTTGTTTTGGCAATTAGAAGGAGAAAGAAAACACCATTATTGACACAAATTTTTGTCGATAATTGGTTGAAAATTCGTTGTTAATGAGTAATAATATCAACAAAATTTTTTCAACATAGAAAATATTCCATTATAATTCAATTTTTTTTATTTTTTTATTTTTGCGGCAAAGCTATTGGTGTTAGAACATGAGGCATATTACCAACGGATTTTTGACAGAATTTATTTTGTTAAAATATTGTTAGAAATTTGTCAATAATACAATTGGAAATTATATAATTATTTGGATTAGAAATTCATTGAAATTTTGTTGATAAAAGTCTACAATTAAAGATGAATTATTTTAGACAAAAAATTTCTATTGAAAATTTCTTGTTTTCTT